TCTTTCCCCATATGTTCACTCCTTCACATCATTCAGGCCTTTATTCATGCAAGTTCAATAAAATGTTAATGATAGAATCTAGGTAGGTGTAGGAGTGTTCATTGTAAAAGTCTTTAAACTTTTCAGTATGTTTAGAAATGTCCACAGTAAAACATAGGGAGAGGGGACTGTTTGCTCAGAGAGGTTTTTCTCTGGCCATTCTATCTAAAATAGCATGTTCATCTGTCTATCACTGTTTGTACTCTTATCCTGCTTTATTTTCTCTCATGAATAATTATTTACTGAGTATACCATGCTTTGTTTTCTTCACAGTAGTTATCACTATGTGAAATTATTTACTTGTTCATTGTCTCTTCCACTGGAGTGTAGTCTCTAGAAGGGCAGGGACCATATCTGTTTTGTTTCCTTATATATCTTCAAAATTTGGAACTGTTCCTAGGTATTCAAGTAACTATTTGTTAAACAAATAAACGAACTTCAGTTAGTGTTCCATTTGAAACCTTGACACTAATTAATTTCACCATGCTTCATATTCCTGTTATCCTTGGCAGAAACGCCCAGAATGTAGACTCCTCTAATGATTTATTCTCTGCTGTACTTTTATCCCCACTCTTCTGTTCTTTACCTCCTCTGCCTTCACCCATCCTTCCACTGTTCCCACCCAAGCCTTTCCACTCTGCCCTTTAGAACTACCTCCTTAATTATCTCTCCTGCACCCTCAGTTTACAGAATTCTCTCATCACCTCCTTAATTTAACATAAATCTGTCTGGTTCTTCCAAAAAACAAACTAACTAAAAAACAGCTTCCAGAAGTTCATGAGACTATTCATTTTCTAAATTCAGATGCCAGAGATCAGGTTGCCACCACTGCCACTTCCAGACCCATACTCTACTCCTCATCCTCATGTAAAAACATCACTCTTCATTTGAGACTCTTGTCATTCCATTTCATATTTCCCTCTATCTCTATTTGATGCTATTATGTAGAAAGTTCCTGGTTATACCCCCCGCACTTTGGGTTAACCTTACTTCTCTACCCCAAATCCAGCCCATCATCTCAAGTGATTTTACTATCTTTTAGATACAGCTACTCTTCTATTCTTGCATGTCCTTGACTTTACTGCTGGTGACTTTTGACTCCATTACATCTAAGCTGTCCATATCAATGACTATATTCTGGATCTTGTAGTCATCAGGAACTATTCATTCTCTAAAATCTTCAATTCAGATATGCCATACTCTTTATTTTTTGAGCTTTCTCACGCTCATCTCTCCCTACAACCATTACTTGACTTCATTAACATCTCTAGTCCCCTATCTCTCTTTATTATCTCTCTTTGCTTCCTGGCTTAAAATCCTTCCCTAAGTAGTTAGCAGTGATAGCTTTGTTGTCAATAGCCTCAACACTTTTATCCTCTTATGCTATTTCTGCAGCATCTGCCATGCAACTCTCTAACCTTGGATTTATTCAACTATTCAAATTAACACCCCAATTCCTGACCACTGCAGGAGGAAAATCACAAAATTGTGCATACAGGTACCACTACAAATTCATTATTTCCACTCTATGCTTGGCCATCAGCACTGCCCAGAACTCTTGTATTTCCCAAATCAAATCCTCTCCAGTTCCTCACAACAGTAATTTCAAACCTTCAACTCCCACCTCAAACCCCTATTCCACCACTTCCCTCCTCACTCCCAGGCAGAAGACTTCATCTCCTGTTTCACAGAGAAGCTACAGTACGTCTTATAGGAATCCCTCAATTCTTCCCACTCATACTGCAAACCCCACCCCACAGAATTGTTCACTTCTACCATCTTTATCTCCTCTCCAGTTTCAGAGGAAACTGTGGAAAGTCAATACCTCTCTCTGCTGTAGCTCTCACTCTTCCCTACTTCCACCAATTATTCACTTTCTTATATTGTTGATTTCTGCCTTTCTACAGACTACTTCCCTTCAGCATGTTTTCCATTCATACATCTTCCCTTCTTAGTGAAACTTCTCAAATGAGTGATCTATTCACTTCATTACTGCCTCATTCCAAATTACTCCTGAACCCTACACAATAACTTCTACTCATTCCACTCTTTTGAAATTGGCCTTGCCAAAGTCACCAGTTGTGGTTTAAAATATCTCTTTTCCAGTCATTTTCTAAATTGATCTTCACATTTGGCATGAATGACCATTCCCTTCTCTTTGACAGTCTCTTTGTTTTAGATTCCATGTGGACTTCATTTCCTGGTTTTCCTTTCATTTCTGTTGCCAGAATTCCTCAGTCTCTTCTGAGGCTTCATTGACCTTCATCTGTTGTTATTCTCTATAACATGCTCTCTGACTGTATGTTCTCAGTTTCCTTAGGAAATCTCATTTACATGAATAGCTTCAGCTATCCCCACTCTATATTGATTATTCTAGCCCTGGCCTCTCTCCTAAGCTCCAGTTAGAATAATTACCCATTTGAATATATTCACTTAGTTGTCCTGTAGGTCAACACAACATGGCCAAAACTGAACTCATCAGCACCCTCCAAAATCTGCATCTCTGGTATTTCCATCCTTGACATCACCTTTCTCTATCCCTTACCACCAGTTACTGTCCTGTATGTTTCAGCTCCAGGAATTCTGTCTCCAGAATCTATTCTTTTTTTTCCATTCCCATTCCCATGCCTCTGGCTTACATCTTAATAATGTTTCACCTAGAGGGTTGCTATAGACTCTAACTTGGTTTTCTAGCCTTTCCTGAGGAGCAGAAACTATGTCTTTTATTTCCATATCCTTGGAGCCCAACTTAATGCTTAGCATGTAGTAGGCCCTCTAGAAGAGTGTGTCGAATGAATGAGTGAACTTTGGTGATATTTTATTAATACACACAAAACTAAAGGAAATATATTAAAATATTTTAAGTTAAACAATTCCCTACCCTGGAATACATGAAAAGCCATATTGTCCATGGTTGCTTTTTCCCTGCAATGGCATAGTTAAGTACTTTCAACAAAGACCAAACAGCCCACAAAGCCTAAAATATTTACTGTCTGACCCTTTACAGAAAAAGTATCAGCCCCTATCCTAAAGCAACAGCCTCATTTATAAGGCAGGAAAGAATAAAATGCGAATCTGCAGAATAAGCAAAGGCCTAGAAATAAGAAGTATAAAGTATATTTTACCAGCGTTTGACCATGGTACATTATTATTAAAATAGACATCTATTAAATAAATCCCATTTGATTTTCTTAAATGTAAAATTATACCAAAAAGAAAAATATCAGTTTGTGCTTTAAATGATTGCTAAAAGTGAAATTTGATTTTACAGGCAAAGAATACAAGAAGAAAAACACTGTGATCCTGAGACAGCTAGAATTTGCAGGGTAGAGTAACACAGAGGAGGGAGCTGTACATAGACTTTCAAACATCTACAAAGGGATTCCCTCAAGGCTGTGGCTGAATATTGCCACATGCGTGCGGTGAAACTCACTAAGTCCAGAGAGAAAATCTCCAGAAAGCAGTAGGCCTAATAATTTCTAGAGCTCACACAAGACTGGGAATAGTTTTCAATCCTGTCAGCCAGAATGGAAAAATGTTATAGTATGTAAAACATCAGACAGAGTACTCAGAAGGTTAATACCTTAGAAAATTGGCAAAGTTAACCCTAGATTAAAGGCTGCTCTTGAACCACTCTAACAAAGCTTAAAGGCTCAGCAAAGCTTAAAGTGTCAAAAGGAACAAAGTTATTTCAAATAACTTCACTAAATGCCAAAGTTAAATCCATAGAGCTTAAAGGATTACAACAAAATTCAGCAAACAGCAATGTAAAACTGATCATGTTTGACAGCCAGAAGAGACAAATCTCCCACGCAAAATTCCAAATAATTTATGTAGATACTCCACGCTCAAGGAGGAGGGAGCATAACTACCTACTCCTTAAGTGTGGGCTACACATAGTAACTTGCTTCCAAAGTATACAGTATGGAAAAGGGAGGGGGGAATAACTTTACAGTGGAGAAACTTGACAAACACTACCTCAGCTAGGTGATTAAAGCCAACATCAGCAGTCGTAAATTATGTTGACAGTATGTATGCTTGATATGATGTGATGAAAATGGCACTTTAACTCTGTGGTCTTCCTCTCAATAACTCATAACCCTGGTCTTATCATGAGAAAATCATCAGACAAATTGCAATAATGTGGCACCCTACAAAATACATGACCAGTATTCCTCAAAACTGTCAAAGTCATTAAAAAACAAGGAAAGTCTGAGAAACTGTCACAGCCAAGAAGAGCTTAAAGAAACATGACAACTAAATGTAATGTGAAACCTTAGATGGGATCCTGGAATAGAAAAATGACATTAGGTAAAAAAATAAGGATATCTAAAGAAACTATTGACTTTAGTTAATAGTAATGTATTAGTATTGATTCATTAATTATAAATCATGTATCACACTAAATATAAGATAATAATAATATAAACTAGGAATGAGGTATACAAGAACTCTCTGTACTATCTTTTCAATTTTTCTGTAAATCTAAAAGTATTCTAAAAAAATTAAGTCAATTAAAAATTTTTTTAAATACCAGCCATGCAAAGCAGCAGGAAAGTATGACCTACAGTCTCAAGAAAACTCACGCAATAACATGTTAGAAATTACAATAGTGGTGGAATTAGCAAAGACATTAAAACAGCTATTATATATATCTTCCATTTGCATGAGAATGTAGACAAAACAATAACATGGTATGGAGAGAAACTGAAGATATAAAAAGACCCAAGTTTTTGAAGAAATGAAATGTATCTGAAATGAAAAACATCTTGAACAGGATTAACAGAAGATTAGACAGTGCAGGTGAAAAGATGAGAGAACTGGGCTTCCCTGGTGGCTCAGTGGTTGAGAGTCCGCCTGCCGATGCAGGGGACATGGGTTCATGCCCCCGTCCAGGAAGATCCCAAATGCCGCAGAGCGGCTGGGCCCGTGAGCCATGGCTGCTGAGCCTGCACGTCCTGCACCGAGCGGGAAAGGCCACAGCAGTGAGAGGCCCGCGTACAGCAAAAAAAAAAAAGATGAGAGAACTGGGCTTCCCTGGTGGCTCAGTGGTTGAGAGTCCGCCTGCCGATGCAGGGGACATGGGTTCATGCCCCCGTCCAGGAAGATCCCAAATGCCGCAGAGCGGCTGGGCCCGTGAGCCATGGCTGCTGAGCCTGCACGTCCTGCACGGAGCGGGAAAGGCCACAGCAGTGAGAGGCCCGCGTACAGCAAAAAAAAAAAAGATGAGAGAACTTGAATAGCAAGAGAAGCTATTCAAAATGAAGCACAGAAAGAAAAAAGGCTAAAAAATGCTGAACATCAATGACAAGTGAGACAATTTTAAGTGGTCTGACATACGTAAAATTAGAGTTCCAGAAGGAGAGAAGAAAAGGTGGATAGGTAAAAAAAACTCTTGAAGAAATAATAGCTTACATTTTCCCAAACTTGGTGAAAACAATAAACCCATTGATCCAAGAAACTCAATGAACCACAAACTAAATAAATAAAAAGAAAACACACCAAGATCCAGCATAATCAAACTGGTGGAAACAAGTGACAAAAAAAGTAAATCTTACAAGGAGAAAAGAGATAGTACATACAGAGAAATGAATATAAAAATGATAATAGACATCTCATCAGAAACTATACAAGTGAGAAAACAATGGAGTGACTTTTTATATTAGTGAAAAGAAGTCCATTAACCCAGAATTCTATATGAGGGAATATATCTTTCAAAAAAATAAGGTAATATAAAACTGTGGTGGTATCCAAACATTGTCAAGAGAAAACCCAATATGTAGTGAAAGATGAAAAAAGTGACATAAAAATGGAAATTGATATTAAGAGAAACAAAAAGAGTCTTCTAGATCAACGTGGACAGTACTCCATATGGATGAACCAGAGGCCAAAGGGAGGGGAAAAAAAGAAGCTGAAGGCAAAGTGAAAGAAAGAAAAGGGGGAAAGCAAAGCAAAAGCAGTAAAGGCAGTGAAGGGTTTGTCCTGGTAGACTCTTAAAAACGAAAAATGTCACATGGGATAGATCTTTGATTAGAATGTATACATTAGTTTCAGCTTCCACCAAATGAAAACTTTATTTCCATATTTTAACTTGGCCTTTTTCAATTTAAACACAGCATAACTTCTCAAATTTGTTTTGGGAACTTTAATAAAATATCTTTTGTGTGTGTGTGTGTGTGTGGTACGCGGGCCTCTCACTGTTGTGGCCTCTCCCGTTGCAGAGCACAGGCTCTGGATGCCCAGGCTCAGCAGCCATGGCTCACGGGCCCAGCCAGTCCACGGCATGTGGGATCTTCCCAGACCGGGCACAAACCCGTGTCCCGTGTCCCCTGAATCGGCAGGCGGACTCTCAACCACTGCGCCACCAGGGAAGCCCCCTAAAATATCTTTTTTGATGGAGTTAAAAAAATCAAAAAGATCGACATTATCAGGTTTTAGCAAGGATTTGGAGAAACCAGGACTCTCATCCACTGGAGGTGGGAATTAAGATGGTACCACTTAAGAAAAAAATGTGATAGTTTCTTATAGTTAAGCATATACCTAACATACAACCTAGCAATCCCATCACAAGATATTTACCCTAAAGAAATTAAAACACAAAGATTTGTAAACAGATGTCCAGGCAAGTTTATTCATCCTAGCCGTAAACTAGAAACTACCCAAGTGTCCATCAGATGGTGAATGAATAAGCAAATTGTGATGTATCCATAAAATACAGTGATTGATACATGCAACAACATAGGTGAATCTCAAAAAGCATTTTGCTAAGTGAAAAAAGCCAAACAGAAAAGACTACATAATGTATGGTTCCATTTATATGAGATTTTAGAAAAGACAACTAAAGTGAAATAAAGTAGATCAGTGAGTGTCAGTGGCTGAGGCTAGAAGAAAAGGATTTACTGCAAAGGGGTATGCGGGAACTTTCTGGGATGACAGAAATTTTCTATATCTTGATTTTGGAGAAGTTTACATAAGTGTATACATTTGTCTAACTCATCAAATTGTACTTTACAATTGGTGAATTTTATTCTGTGTTAATTATACCTCAGTACTGTTTTTTTTCAGTGTCAGTTACCTGGAAAAATTAACAGGGATAGATTTGTGATTTTCATTAAATCAGTAACTACAAATAATAATGAGTCTATATGAAGTCTATAAAAAACTTTATTTAGAGCTTTATTTCTGTAATGATTTTTATAGATCTCTAAACAATCTCCTAAGATGAGATAACTCCATGTTATAAACGTCAAGCACAAGAGGAACTGTATTCATACACACGATGAGTATGTACAGTAACCTCCTCCTCCAGGGCAGAGATGCCTCAGGGACTTACATAACTGTTTTAGAAAAACATTAAAATATTGGTTGTCACATTTGATAGAACAATCAAACAAAATCGTAGTAATTTGGACATCACACTCTGTTTACCAGTACAAAGTCATAAATTCTTAGATGACAGTAAGAGAAGAAATTCAGTCGTACCAACTCGCCTTCTTTTGGCTAAACTTCACCCCTCCCTCTGTCCAGACTCTAACGTACTATTTAGGGCCACAGAAGACATCCCACAGATGAAACATAAAGTGGGAGCCCCAGGAACAAATAACTACTACCCAGTGATACCTGGAGAGAGAGTGGACTGCATTTCCCTCCACATCATATACTGGATGGGACCTTTGAATAGGCCTGGGTTCAGCTTTCTGGAGATAAGCTCTCTGGGTGTCAGCACCCTCATTCCTTGCTCCAAGCTGCAGGGGACATAAATCATTTATTCTTAGACATCCTCCAGGGACTGAAGGAAGGGTATTAATACCACAGGGAAACACTTACCTATCCAAGAGAGGTGTGATGTCCTAGGAGAGGAAAAGAGAAATAGAAAGGTTATATGCCTGTTCATCAGCTCCAGAAATTTCTTTGGTCATACTGGCCACCACCAGAATTTGATGGTCAAAACTGTGATCCTATGCAGATGGTGCCCATCCCATTGCCACCAACTCCTCTCATCCTCCATATGCCTTTTCTGATCTTCATCCTTCATCTATCCCAGGATAAACTGGCTTACTTTGCTCTGATTTTCTAGAGTTCCCTTTTACAGGGAACAAGAAAGAAATTAAGGTTAAGCTGTTTTTACCTACACTGCCACATAGTCTCAGGAGAAAAACACAGTAGGTATTCCAACCCCAAGGCCACTTTTCCTTACTCTGGCTAATCAAGCTTCTGAGCACTGAGGTAGTAACCAATGCCACTTTAGAGGTGAAATGTGAGGAAGCAAAAATTGACCAACAGCTTTTCAAACAGGTCAATTTATGATTGCTGAGAGCCAGTAAAAGATACAACTTTTTGGCAACATTCTTACTTTTGAGAAATAAAGCTTCAAATTTCTTTATGGAGAAATATTAAAATATGCTGGTTTTAATGGCATTTTATTATCTTCTTTTCTAGGAGTGTGAAAGTAAAGCTTTCAACTGAGTATAAGGTAAAAGCAGCCTCCTGCCTTTCTCCCAAGGAATCTTAAAAGCACTACAGCAGTTTTTTTACCCTCCTGGAGGGGAAAATCTGCTTCTACATCCTTTCCAACCCTCTTTCCCCCTCTATTGTACCCATAGTCATGTTGGTCTCACTTTGAGAAAGTCGAAGGAGTTCTGCTGTTCCATCCGTGCCTGGATGCTCACCAACATCTCCCTGGCTAGGAGGCACTGTTCTTGAATGTGGCTTAGATTCAGCTCCATCTCCTCATTCAAGGCTTTCCCCTCTTCTCGGAGCTCATTTAAAGCGTCCTTTTCTTTGCTGTGCAGGAACTGATGCAGCTTTAGAAACTCCAAGGAGATGTGTTGCTGCAGATGTAGCTTGTTTTCCTGGAAAACTCCATGATCATCACCATGGTAATTACTGAGATTAACACTTGGGGATGGGGCCCCACACCACCAACACTCATACAACTTGGGAAATACTATAACAGGAAAATGCATGCAAATGGCTGAGTATCAACATTCAACTGTACTAAAAGGAGCCCTTTGGGAGACTTACTCTGTCTTTCCCAGCTAGTTTAATAGTTCAGCACGAAATAGTCAAAAGTCATCCTAGGTTCCTATTGCAGTACTGAGGTGGTAACCAATGCCATATTAAATAAGACCATGGGGTTAATCAAACATTTTTAAATGAATGATAATTCCCTTTTATCCAGAAGTACAAACCAATATCTACCAAGTGATGCTGTTAGACTGGGTCCATATGAGGCTGGAAGAACTGTCCTTTTTTTAAGAAATCTGAACTAGGGGAGATGCCATTCCTG